TCTGTGTATTCTTTCGCTATCCCTATCGCCGCTGGATCTCCCCTCCTCGTGAACCAAACACTCGTGAACAACACAACTATGTTGAGGTCAGACCCCGGCATAGGTGGTATGCAAACTTATTAGACTTGAAATCATCCAGGAGTAAGGAGAGACAGAGAAGAGATGTAAGGATAAAGACAGAATACGTGGTTGCCTACAGGTAAAAGTAAAAACCAGGAAATGAGACAAGTAGAAGCCTGTGAAGTCAAATAAGAACTAACAGAGTTGTTGTTGTGGAAAGCAAGTGGTTTTAAGAAGGAAGGAATGACATTGTATCAAATATTCCTCACAGACGGGGGCTGATAATTAACTAGTCCTTGCATTTAGGTAAGATCACTGTTGTTGCTACTGTTGTTTTTGTTATGTGTCATTGAGTTGGTTCCGACCCATAGCGACCCTGTATAGGGTTTCTGAGGAGCAGCTGGTGAGCTTCAACTGCTCACCTTGTGGTTCAAGCTGACTTTGCAGTCTAACGCATAAACCCACAATGCCACACTAGGTGCTTTCAATCAGTTAATAGTGACCTTATTGCACAACAGAATGAAACACTGCCCAGTCCTGCACCATCCTCACCATCATTCGTATGTTTGAGCCCGTTTTTGTAAACACTGTGTCAATTTATCTCACTGAGGGTCTTCTGGCTGACCCTCTACTTTATCAAGCATGATGTCCTTTCTCCAGGGATATGTCCAAAGTACATGAGACCACATCTCACCATCGTCTCTTATAGGTTTTCCAAGACAGGTTTGTTTACTCTTCTGGTCAAAACCATTGCCATCAAGTTGACTTTGACGCATTAACGATCCACAGGAGAACTGCTCTGTAGTTTCTGAGGCTATAAATCTTTACAGAAGCAGGCAGCCTCATCTTTCTCCTGTCAAGTGGATGGTAGGTTGGAATCACTGATCTTCAGGTTAGCAGCCTTATGCTTAATCCACTATGCCATCAGGTTACTTGGCAACCCATGACATATTCATTATTCTTGAACACCATAATTCAAAGGCATCGATTCGTCTTGGGTCTTCCCTATTCACTGTCCAGCTTTCACTTGCATATGAGGCTTGGGTCGGGAGCATCTATGTCCTGGAAATGACAACTTTGCTTCTTAACATATTAAAGAGGTCTTTTGCAATCAATTTGTCCAGTGTAGTGGTGGTGGTAGTGGTTATGTGCCGTGGAGTCGATTCCGATTCATAGCGACCCTGTACATGGTTTCCGAGGCTGTAAATCTTTACAGGAGCAGAAAGCCTCCTCTTTCTCCCCTGGAACCACTGGTCGTTTCGAACTGCCGACCTTGAGATTACAGTCCCACTTATAGCCACTATGTTACACAATGTCTGATTTCTTGACTCTACTTCCATGATGTTGATTGTGGATCCAAGTAAAATGAAATCCTTGACAACTACAAGAATACTTTGGGCAGCTTAGGGAAAATGGAAACCTAGCTAGAACGTGTAAAATTTGTCTAAGAGCAGAAGAGGATATACTCAAAACAGTAGGAAACAGAAGAAACTTTTTCAAAGAGAGATCAGCAGGGAAAATACAAAATAAAAATGGCAGTCTGATTGGCTACTACAAAAACAAGCAAGTTGTTCACCAAGAAGCCACCAAGGCAAGCAATCAACTCCCTTCTGGACATACCCCCCTCCCAGACTGAAACTCAAAGGGAACACATGAGCAGGCAATGAAGCTTGCTGGCGACCATGTTGGTCTACTGGTGAATGGAAGAGGGGGGGGGGGAAGGCAGCAATGAAGAAATGGGCTGAGTTCAACCATGTTTCATAGACTCCTGTTGACCTGGAGATGACAGAGAGAAGATGAAGGGCTGGTCGGTCCAAAGTGTGATGAGACCTGGGAACACCTGAGCCCATGGACAAGGACACAGCCACAGAGGGCTAGAGCTGACAGTGAAGCTGTGAAGTGAGGGGACATACACGAGAACACCCAAACTTATAGACAGTACCCATTTGACCTAGCCTCCATAGCTTGATAATCAGAACTCGACTAGAGGAAAATAAAAAAATAACAATTTTTGATAAAGGAAACAAGTGTAAATTGCTACAATTTGAAGAAGCTGACCTATACTTACAGACATAATAGCCCAAAATACCAACTGAGAGGGAAGGAGTCTTCACATCAAGTATCAATGCTATCCCCACTGTATACAGGGTAGATTGTTGTTGTGAAGTGCCATCGAGTCGGTTCCGACCCATAGCGACCCTCTATAGGGTTTCCGAGGAGCAGCTGGTGAGCTTGAACTGCCGACCTTACAGTTCAAATGGCTTTGCAGTCTGGTGCATTAACCCACAGCTCCACACCAGGATAGGGATGTGCAATTTAGACATTGGCTACCTAAAATGAGGGGTGGATAAAGACATGAAGTGACTGGCTTACAAGGTTTCAAGAGGGAGTTTAGTTTAAGAATGTGCGGTGGAAGGTAGAGTCTTCACTGAATAGTTTTCATCTTGTCTAGAAGGGTCTGGTAAAAGGAGATGGGGATAAGATTCTTATGATTCAACAATGAGTAACTGCTATAACTGTCACAACTGTAAAGGTAGTAATTTTGTAACAAAAATGGGGGAATAGTTCATCTTACAGTCCAGAAACAGAGGACCCTAGAACCACCAAGGGAGAAGAGCATGAGTGGAATGTGGGACCCTATCCAGAGAAGCAGGGACACCAGAGATGAAGGAAGAGATGGGGACATGGAGAGGGGGAGCAGCTGAGGACTCTAGACTCATGGAAAGAGAAAGACTGAGTGATGGCGGCCAGAAGGCAGGCTTGCAGAATGTGCCCTTTGGTTGTTTAAATGATTATATATTCCTGAGTGTTTTTGTGTACATCCCCCCCCCCCCCCTAAAAAAAAAAAAAAAAAAAAAAGCAGAGGGAATAGAAGCAAATACTGTTGAATGATGATGCACGGAGGAGATTATAATCATTGCAATGAAACAATGGTGTAAAAACAATGTTCTCCCATGTAAACTATCACTCAATTCACAATAAAAAAACTTTAAAAAAAAACAACAACAAAACAGTAGGAGGCCAGGCAAACAACAATTGAGTCCACTTGACAGTTTCAGGACTTAGAACCAATGGGCAGAGTTGTTTTTTCTCCAACCATGTTCATCTACACAGGTGTGAGGTAGGCACCATTGTGCATTTCCCCATTGACCTTGTTTCTGTTAAACAGGGTTGATAGAGTTATGCACAATGGTGAACGTCCCAAAACACCAAAGTTGAGTTTGTCACTCCTTTGTTTACATTCATTTAAAAGTTTCCATGACTTTTACAATCCCATTTTATATACACATCTTTTTCCAGTCATTACCAATGCCATAATCCAAAAGCAATGTAAACACACTTTCATTGAACCAATTTAAGAATATATGATACAAGAGTAATTAATATCTCAATTATATTACAACTCAATGATACAAACCATACTTACTTGTGTGCTCCAGTGGAAGACTCATCTCACAATCTGATAAAGTCTCTTCCTGTTTATTCTGTGCCGATTTCTTTTTATTTTTCCTTTCACTTTCCCTTTGGAAAGTTCTTAATGTTTCTCTAATATTTTCAAAGTTTAGGTCTTCATAGCTTGATACTTCATTTACCCATTTTAAAAACAGAGTTTTAAATTCATCGGACACCTGACACTCCGTAAGAAAAAGAGAACAGATCTGTTGTTGATTTGGTGGTGACATATCGGACTGTAAAAAGTAAGATGGAAATCCTTGAGTATAGTAGCTCCTTCCCACAGGCTTTGCTTGTACTCTCACTTGCCACCAAGGACCTATTAATGGGAAACGTCCAAACACTTCAAATATCTCTTGAGTATTTTCATCACAAATTGAAACTTTGAAAAAAAGGAAATTTAGGATTAGGATATGATATTTTAAAACCCTTTCCCCAATGTTTTATGATCCACACCACTCTCTTTAATGTCCAGAGAGAACCTTATACAGATGTCTGCTAGGTCTTCTATAGCATTTAATTTCACTTACATGTTTATTCCTCTGTCCTGTACTAAATCTCTCTACTGGGTACTGTGTTTCATTTGTCTTTATAAAACCAAGGTGGTGGTGATGATTATGTGCCATGGAGTCAGTTCTGACTCACAGATACCCTGTAGAGGATTTCCGAGGCTGTAAATATTTACAGCAGCAGAAAGCCTCATCTTTTACTGCTGGTAGTTTTGAACTGCTGACCGTGAGATTAGTAGCTGTACTCATACCCACTTAAACTACCAGAGCTCCTTTTGCAAAGCAAGAGGTGACCACAATACGTAACAAATATCTGTTCTTCCTATTTTAAAAGCAAGCTTCTTCCTGCTGTTCTAATCTCAGGCAATACTGGCCTTTATGTAGTTCCTAAAAATGTCATACTCCCTGTTACCACTGGGCCTTTGCACAAGCTGTTCCATCTGCTTTAAGTGTTCTCTTTACATCTAGTTTATTACAGACATCAGCTTAAGTATCACTTCCTCAGGAAAGCCTTCCCTGAATCACATGAATATAGTCTCTCATAGTACTAGCTACCATTCCTGTTCACCATTAACAGTAGTTACTTCTGTGATTATTTTAAGAAGCTCTGGTAGCGTAGTGATTACAAATCAGGCTGCTAACCTCAATGTCGGCAGTTCAAAACTACCTGCGGTTCCGTGGGAAGAAGATAAGGCATTCTGCTCCCATAAAGATTTACAGCCTCGGAAACCCTGTGCAGGGTCACTATGAGTCAGAACCAACTCCACGGTACTTAACAACAACATTCAATCACTAAGGAGCTCTGGTAGTGTAGTGGTTACGAGTCAGGCTGCCAACCTCAAGGTCAGCAGTTTGAAACTACCTGCGGTTCCACAGGAGAAAGATGAGGCTTTCTGCTCCCCTAAAGATTTACAGCCTCGGAAACCCTGTGCAGGATCACTATGAGTCTGAATCCACGGTACTTAACAACAACAACAACATTCAATTCACTAAGAGTCCTGGTGTGACACTGTAGGATAATGCACTTGACCACAAGGTGGGTTTGAACCTCAAAGTCGGTGGCTCAGATTCACCAGAGGCTCCTTGGAAACTTTATACAGGGCCACTGAGTCAGAACCGACTTTATAGCACTTAACAACAGCAACATTTATTTCACTATACTGTAAGCTCCCTTAAGACAGGAACTTCATTATTTTATCTCACCAAACAACTTGCTTGAAATATAGCTGCTATTGTTGTAAGCCATTTTAGTCAATTTCAATTCACAGACCTGCTCAATGGGATTTCGTAGGCTGTAGTCTTTATGGGCACTTAACAATAACAATCCTTAAGGGCGAGAGAAGCATGAGGCTTTCTGCTCCCTCAAAGATTTAAAGCCTCCTCTTTTATTATTATTTTTTTTTAATTACTTTTGCAAAGAGTCTTGGTAGCTTAGTGAGTGAGGAATTGGGCTGTTCTCTCCAAGGTCAGCAGTTGGGATCTACCAGCGAATTCACAGGAGAAAGGCTTTCTGCTTCCTGTTAATCTTTACAGCCTTGGAAACCTGCTACAGGGTCTGGGTCCTACCGACTCCATGGCACACTACCACCACCATTACCGTTGCTGTGGTTAAATGCTATCAAATCGATTCCGACTCATAGTGACCTTGTAGAGGGTTTCCGAGGAACACTCGAACCACTGGCATTGTGGTTAGCAGTGCAATGCTAACCTACAGTACCATACCAGGGATCATTTTTGTTATAACTGCCATTTATCATAAGTGTGTTAAATCTAGTCTTTATTTGTCTTTAGGGGTTAGCATGAGAATGAAAACATCAGCAAATTACTCACTGACACATTGTATGTAGTACACATTACTCAGGACAATGGGGGGGGGGGCGCAGGGGCAGTCCTGAGTATCACTGTTGTAAGTAACTCAACTATTCCTACATGGGGGTCTACGTGTATTTTATATAACAGAAAACTACACAAGGTTAAAACCAACCAGCTGAGTTAATCCTTGTGTTCTAAGTAGTTAAAGAATAACAATGTATAGGCCTTCAGGCTGCTGCTGTTGTATGCCTTCAAGGCAGTTCCAACCCTATATAGGGTTTCCGTGACTGTAAATCTTTAGAAGAGCAGAAAGCCTCATCTTTCTCCCACGGAGGGGCTGGTGCATTCAACTGCTGACATTGCAGTTAGCAGCCCAACACGTACCCTACACTACGTTACCAGGGACTCCAGGCAGGATAAGTTTAAAGTTAAAGCCCTGATTCTGGGTCTTTTTACAGAATCCCCCATTCACCAGCTGCCTGCACAAGACTACCCAGCCCCTCTATGATGTTCCTCATCTGTTTAAGATAACCTCAAAGGATCTGTGAACACTAACTGTAGTAATACAGGCAGAGCCCAAACTTAACAGTGACTTTAATTGAGCACATGCTATGTGTTAAATTCGGGCTCTTTAAAGTCACTGCTATTGTTATTATTATTAACAGCATTTTATCCTAAGTAGGAGTAGGGTAGCGTTGTGGTTACGAATCGGGCTGCGAACCACAAGATCAGCAGTTCGCGGGATAAAGATGAGGCTTTCTGCTCCCGTAAAGATTTACAGCCTCGGAAACCCTGTACAGGGTCGCTATGAGTCGGAACCGACTCCACGGCACATTAACAACAACAACAACAACAACAGGAGTAGGCAGCTAGCCCATCCCCAAGTCTTAGCAGTGGCGGGGAGCCTTGCTGGGGCCCAGAAGCCTAGAAAGCGAGGGAGGGCTTGTTCTACTCACCACGAAGGCGACCGGGGAGGCAACCAGCCTTTACACCCCCACTGCAGAGTTCCTCGGCGTCGACAAACACTGGGTCTTCATCCTCCTCCACATCCTCTTTTAGACAGTCATTATCTTTCTCCACTGGGTCCTTGGCTGGACACAGAACTCCCCGCAGCTCCCGCAAATTCCCATCTAAGCAGGCCATGTTCCCTTCCCGGCAGTCGATACAGAGAATTTTGGCAAACCCAGACCGCTACATAATCACGATCAGCCAATCAGCTCTGAGGACCGCCCAGTCGGCACTTGCAAACGCCAAGGGGCGAAGCTCCGCCCCCAGATCCAGTTGGCGGGGAGGAGGAAAGGGGGCGGGAACAGGAGAGATGTCTGGCTGGGCATCCGGAAGTGAGGAGCCGGGAGGTCACCCTAAATCCCGCTAGTCCTGGAGCTACCAGTGCGGCGCCTGCACAACCTTTTGTGTATCTCCTGCGGAAAAGGAAACGTGGGGGAAGACCACATTTCTGACCCCAGAAAAACGAATAAGAAAGAACATCCCTCCCAGCAAAAGGTTAACTGGCGACACATACACACGCCCCCATCCACTCAGAAGAGTGACTTGACTTTGGAGAAACTTCAGTGACCATTTTGGGGCCGACTTCCTAAACAATGAAAGAGCCTTGGAAACCAAACGCATTGCTATTGAGTGGATTTTGCCTCATCGCAACCCTGCCAGGCAGAGTTAGAAGTGTTCCAAGGCTGCAGATATTTACAGTCAGTGCTACTTTAGGATAAACTTTGGGCTGTTAACCACAACGTTGGTGGTTCAAATCCACTAGAGTTGCTTCTCGGAAACCCTACACACCGTGTCAATGAGTTGGAACGGACTCGATGGCACTTAACAACAACAAGCCACTTATTCAAGAGTTTGGTAGTAGTGGATTTATGAACTGGACTGCTAACCAGCAAGGTCAATAGTTGGAATCTACCGGCAGCTTCTGCATGAGAAAGATGAGGCTTTTTTTTCTGTTCCAATAAAGATTTACCGAGCAGAGTGTGGGCACCTATGCAGAGAAGCAGCGACACCAGAGACAAAAGTGATGGCATGAAGAGACAGAGCAGCTGAGGACTCCAGATTAGTAGAAGGAGAAAAGCTCTGTGCTGCGGAGCAGGAAGCAGGCTTGTAGAATGTGCCCTTTGGTTGTTTTGTTGTTGTTGTTGTGCGGTCTAGTCAGTTCCGACCCATAGCGACCCTGTGTACAGGGTTCCTAAGCACTGCTGGTGAGCTTGAACCGCCTACCTTGCGTTTCAAACCCACTTTGCAGTCCAGCGCATTAGCCCACGATTATATATATTCCTGCGTGTTTTTATGTACATTTAAAGAGAGGGAGAGGAAATAGAGCAAATGCTATTAACCGATGGTGCATGGAAGGGATTGTAATCATTGTAATTAAACAAAATGCGATTGGTTGCATGCAAAACCGATGTTCTGCCTTGTAAACTATCACTCAATTCACAATAAAAGCTTTAAAAAAAAAAAAAAGATTTACAGCCTGAGTAACCCTATACAGGGTTGCTATGCGTCATAACCAACTTGAGGACACACCACCACCACCACCACCAAAAATCCACTTATTCGGTGGTTCAAAGCCATCAACTGCTCCTCAGAAACCCTGTACAGGGATAGCACATAACAAGAAGTTTCTATGTAGTCTTGGTGTGGTGCTATAAGATAAGCATGGCACTGCATAGTTAACACCAAGGTCGGTGGTTCAAACCCACCTCCCACTCCTGCGGAACTCTATACCATGTCTCTTTGAGTCAGAACAACTCAACAGTATTAAACAACAAGCCACTTAGGGGGAACCCTGTGGCTCTGTACAATAAGCATTGGACTGAAACCAGTTCAAGCCCCAGCAGCAGCTCTGAGAGGGAAAGATGAGGCTTACTGTGCACAAAGATGTACAACCTCGGAAACCCTATACAGGGTTGCTATGAGTTGGAAAAAACTCAGGGGCCCTTGACAACAATAACAAGGCTGACAAGAGCCATAATTAATTAAAATAAATAAATTGAGACATATTAATCGAGGAATTAAATAAATGAGACACGGGAAACCTGTGCATTGAAGAATTCATTGTTTTTGCAGAGCAACCATGAATTATTTTCCTTGAATAGCAAAGCTTCAAGGAAAAAATATTCTATGCGCAGATCCCTAGTTAAATTTTTTTCTTTTTGAATCGTTCTCTGATTTATTCATGATTTTATTAGTATCCCTTTTACTTTAGATTTTGACTCTTCCACACTTTAGTATATTTTTATTAAAAGTTAGAATCCATACGTTAGCTAAATTTTATTCTACTTGTAATCTTAGGTAGTTTTAATACTTATATTAACAATGTTCTTAAGATTGCTAGGAGACAGGATTTGTCAATTGAATTACTACCAGTTTAGGTTTAGTGATCGTAAACATTCTTCCTTGTAGCCTTAGTTTAAGGCAATAAAGAATCCTTGAAAGCAACCAGGCCATAAATAAGGGCTGTGGGTACAAGAATTCCTAAAACAATTAGACTATAGATAAAGGCTATGGGTATATACAGATACTAAATAAAAAGTCTGACTTAGACGTTCTTAAATTAATGATCAGTAAAATAGAGAAGTTGTTTTTCATAGCCTCAGTTTCCCTGATAAGTGATGTTTTTGTAGGCTATAAACAGATAGTGTATGGAAGAAGTTAATGGAGAGTTAATTGCACCTAACAACTAAAATTAATAAGACTTAACAGACAAAGGTTAAGAAACATGTAAAGGTCAACTGGCTTCTAAGAGAAAAGAATAGATTTATGTAGGAACAAATGTTTTAACTAAAAGGTTTCAAGGTGCCTGAATGCCTCCTATGCCTTGAGATAATGTCTTTGCTGTAACTTCCCATCCCTGTTGTAAATTTAAGAGTTGTAAACCATGAGGAATGTGCCCCAGACTTGATTGTATTTTGATGTCATTGATTACTATGAAAGCAATGGTTTTTGTAACGGTATATAAGGGGATTGTAAGATAGAATAAGTAAGTAGAAGGAAGGAGAAGAGAGAAAGGGGGAGAAGAAGGACTATGAGGTGGAGAGGAGACGAGAGAAAAGAATGGAGGGAGGATAGCGGGAGTAATGTAGAGCAGGAGCAGGGGAAGGGAGAAAAGAAGCAGAAGAGATGAGCAGGAGAGCAGGGGAGTAAAGAATGAGTAGGACAGTAAAGAATGAGAGAGTAGAGTAGCATAGAAATGAGAAGAATAAAGCATGTAATAAGAAGATTTTTGAATTCATTACAACTTATTGACTCCGTGTAATTCTTATCGCCGACCGCAGCATCCCCCCTCAGATAAAAAACCCTGAAATAAATTTGCCGGGGCTGGCTCCCAGCACAAGGCATTTGTAAATTATTAAACTCAGCTGTGGAATCAGAATTGGGCTGCTAACAGTAGGTTTGGCAGTTCAAATTCACCACCTGTTCAGCAGGAGAAAGATTTGTTGTTGTTTTGAGGTGTCATCTAGTCAGTTCTGACTCATATTGACCTGATGTACAACCCTGCATGGTCTTGCAGTCCTTAACAATTGCAATGTTTAAGTCCATTGCTGTTTCCACTGTGCCAACCCATCTTTTTGAGGGTCTTCCTCTTTTTGGCTAACCCACTACTTTACTAATTATGATGCCCTTTTCCAGGGTCTTTATTGTTGTTAAGTGTCAATGAGTCATTTCCGACTCATAGCATCGTGTTTCCGAAGAAAGGCTGCTAAGTTTGAACCGCTGACCTTGTGGTTCTAACCAAACTTGTAGTCTGGTTCTTTTCCTATAGCACCACACCAGGACTGGATTCTTCTAATGACGTGTCCGAAGTTTGAAAGACAAAGTCTTGGCATCCTGGCTTCTAAGGAGCATTCTGGCTGTACTTCTTCCAGCACAGATTTGGTTGTTCTTCTGTCTGTCCATAGTATTTTCAATATTCTTCTCCAATACCATAATTCAAATGCATTTATTCTTCTACCTTTCTTCCTTACTCATTGCATAATTTTCATATACATATGAGATCACTGACAGTATCATAGCTTGAGTCAGGCTCACTGTAGTCCTCAAACTGATATCTTTGCTCATAACTTTGAAGACATCTCATGCAACAGGCTTGCCTAAAGCAATATGTTCTCTGATTTCTTTCTTTCTTTTTTTGACTGCTGCCCCCATGAGTGTTGATTGTTGTCTTTGACAACTTGAGTCTCTTCTCCATTTATCATGATGCTATTTACAATGATAGACAATAGTGTTGCTATGTGCCGTGGAGTTGGTTCCGACTCATAGCAACCCTATACGGGGTTTCTGAGGCTGTAAATCTTTACGGGAGCAGAAAGTCTCATCTTTCTCCCACAGAACAGCTGGTAGTTTCGAACTGCTGACCTTGCGGTTCGCAGCCCGATTCGTAACCACTACGCTACCAGAGCTCCTTAGTGTTGCTATGAGTCAGAATCAATTAGATGGCAGTTGGTTTGGATTTTTGGTTATAAGTCACTTATTGAAGCCACGGTGGTGCAGTAGTTAAGTGCTTCATGGCTAACCAAAAGGTCAGTGGTTAGAATCCACCAACAGTTTCCCAGTGATACCGGGTCGAGCTACAGAAGTCTAAAAAGTCATGAAATATAGCATTAAAGAGTGTGGAAATGACCTGCAGGGAGACATGCCATAGACAACAGAGCCTCCTGCAGGGTAGACAAGCTGCAGGTAGCAGCTTATCTCCTTGTGGTCATAGTCTAAGGTGTTTTCCTATCCAGGGGTTAAGCTACAGAGATGGGTCCGCTGTATTTTTTAAAGGGGCAGGCTTTTTCTGTTGGCACTTTTCTGCTTCCTTGTACTGTTGCCTTGTTTATCTTTTCCCATCTGACGTCCATGATGGATCCGTTGCAGGGGCATCTGGGACACTCCACACACGTGCCCTTCTGTCAGGCTCCTGGTTCAAGGACCAGGTTAGCCCTAGTGGCACCATGTTGGGACTATTGGCAATATTTTGTGCCTGAGCTGAAAACTAGTTAAGGAGGACATTAATAGGTAGCTGATAACAATCTCCATTCAGTAGCTGAATAGGGAGGGAGGTTCACAAAACCCTCTGGGTTCCAATCTCACCAGGAGATAGTTGTTGTTTTTTGTTTTATGGTACTGTAGGATAATGCACTGGA